CGGTGGAACTGAGAAGTGAGGGAACAGGCTTTGCGGGTGGAGGAGATAACATGGTACAGAGAAAGGGTGTGGCATTTCAATGCTAACAGTGTTGGAACAGTCTGATAATGAAAAGTAAATATGGGTAACCCCAGCTGCCTTTTTTCGCATGCTGGCAATTCTCCAGCGGATGCACAAAAGAGTTGGAAAAAGCTTGTTTGGATTGAGTCTATCTCAATCTATATGGACTTGGTGATGGTAGATCGATAGCCTTTTCTCCTTCCTGCTTCCATCGTCCAAGTTCGACCTAAGAGGAATACAGTGGGATGACAAATGTTCGAAGTGATGCGAAAGCACCAGTGAGATAGTGGTTCAGCTGCAGACTGTCGGAAGGAGACCAAGGAGCTGGTGGAGCAGAGTAGCGGATGGCGGATGAAGGGCGGACCTGAAGCCAGTAGCTTTGCAGGGCTGACGTCGAGAGCCGTGATGGTGCTGTCGCAGTAGGCGGAAATTGACAGGAACCGAGTGATTCTGGGACGCTCGGAAAAGACGATGAGCTTGGGTGAGATGCTGGAGCATGGTGGAATGCTCGACATTGGTTGCAATTGATAGGAGTTTGAAGCACGAGTTAGCCCATGGAAACTCAAAGAGACCGTGGGAAGAGCTTACCAGACCGAAACCGAACAACTCGCTCGAAGCCAAAGCCCGAAAGCTCGGCTGGTTGGAGTACAACATGATGGGTGCTGTAACATCCCGGACCGGACTTAGTTTCACCCTCCTTGCAAGGAGAGCTACTTATCCCCAACACCGCGAAAAGGTGCCAGTCCGTTGCTGGAGGGGCGCTCCCGTGGTCAGCGCCTCCCGCCTGTGCCCTTGGTACTTGACGCTAGGGATGGCTGGACATTTGTATTCAGTGAGTCGATCGTGGTGACGCGGACGATCGCTCGGTGACCCTCCGGACGGTAGGCCTGCCTTAGCGAGGCTCCGCATGGGATTCGAGGTGATGTTTGGTGAGTGACTGTGGTGGCTCGGACAAGTCACTCTTGCCCTCCGGACGGTAGGCCTGCCTTAGCGAGGCTCCGCAGTGGATTCGAGGTGGTTTTTTTGTCGAGTAGCTGTTGGGGTTATGCGGCAGCCGCTCGGTTCCCTCCGGTCGGTAGGCCTTGCCTTAGCGAAGGGTCCGGATCCGGATTCGAGGTTTTCTGTGGTGGTGAATGATTGTGGGAAAGACGGCAATCATTCGATGCAATCAAGTTCGTCCATGTCCTCTGCGACAGGAGCAGGGATCGCCTCACGGTTTTTTTTCTTGAGGTACTTGATTCTTGCTATTTGTTCTCTGTGAACGCAGCGCCTGTGGCACTGTGGTGACGGACGCGAGCAGATGCATGCGGTCTCGTCGTCTCCAACCCCGATGAACTTGTTCGTTCGGATCGCTTGTGGTATGGTTGGGACTCGTAGGTTTTTGACGAGGTGGTAGTTTCTACCGGGACACCGTTTCTTGCGATGTTCCTCCTCATCGTTGTGGAACCAGACGCCGCTTGCTTTTCGGCCTTGGTCCCATGTGCGGGCTATGCCAGTGACATACTCCCAGATGATCTTGTGGTTGATGTGGTTCGCTGACAGTTCGGTAGACCAGCACCTCCACACAAAATCTAGCTCTTCGGCATAATCTGGCCGGTATTGGACATTGCGCCAGTCGATACCGTAGTTGTTCATGGTCTCGGACAGCTCGAGAGCTGCTGGTTCGACGACTGTTGGCCATACTTCTCCGCCTTCCCAGTTACGGGTCAAGCGCGCAGTATGCCTCGCTTTGAGGGCAAAGTCCTGGAGAAGCAAGCACATGTTTTCTCTGTGCCGCTCCGTGGTGATGTTGAAGTGTGCATACATGTCTTGCTTGACCGGCCAGTTGGTCGGCCAGGGGCGCTTTTCGACTTTAGACGATGCTGCTTTGGGGGTGGTGAAGGTAGTATGACCACTACCTTGGCTGATTTGCAAATTCTTGATACGTGCAATCAGTTCAATGGGATCTATGCCCTCATTGTTGTTGGTTTTCATGGTGATATCCGCAATTTTGCCTTCAATCACGCCCTGTTTCCTCGGGCTGATCCTCTCCATGATGATGTTTTCCTGATGATAATTTTGCGAAGAACAGTCACGTATCAACGTCGTACGACCTTGAATGTAAGCAGTTCAACCGGGTAAGATTTTGATATCTCACTGCTTCTACACTGTGTGTGAAAGCTATCAGTCTCATGCACAGAGTTGTTGGATGGAGAAGAAATTCTTCGTCCTACGAAGGGGTCTTATATCTTAGCCGTGAGTCACTCGCTACCAAGACAATGGTGAACGTACGGCATGCTCCCTCACCATGGCAGGCTCTTGGAGTCACTGGAGGGTAAGAAATTTTTCATCTCACGCTACAGATTGCTCTCATATCGGCCCTTGGCATGCTTTGGCTCACTTAAATTGCTCGCTTTCCTCTCATCTGGCAGTTCTAGGCTGATATTTTCATGTTTGAGGCCTTGCCAAGGAGTTGTGTTACCGTCTCGAGTGTTCGATGTCCTTGGCATCATGTCAAAATGTGCTCAAAACGTCCGGGCGTGGCATTGTCAAACTCCGACAGAGCTTCACGTGATTCTCATCTGTGCGTCTTATGAGAAGGTACTCATGGTCATGCTGCACTTCATGGAGACACTGATGTGTTTATGTGACTTCTTCCAATGCAATTCTCAGTTCGAGGCTGGCCAAGGCGGCGTGTCGAGATATGGCTCAATTCTTGGCGTTCCCCCTTTCTTCAGTCCAAGGTACTGAGCACATCAGCAGTGATGAAAATTTCTTTTAATTACTTTGCTGCCTGCTCTCTACCCATCTACGAGACCTGGGCGCCAGGAAGAGATTTAAAGCCTGGAGTTTTCTTGGAAGTAGTCAAGAGGACCGTATCTGCTTTGAGCTAGAAAACATACTAGAAGTCCAGTCCCTGTAGTCTAAATGCCTTCCTTCAGTGCTCTGCAAGCACAGCTCTGATCTATATCCTACGCCAAGAGCCTTGACATTGACTCATATGAATGTTCATATCTTTGCTCTATTGCTCTCACAAACCCTCAATGAACCTGTCCCTTCCACGGCGACATCACACAATGTCTCCTTTCTGTGGTATCTATGCATACTCACGTATCCCGTTCTTTCGAAGATGTGGGCCGCCATTCTGGTGGCCGATTCAGAATGGATTGATGCCGTCAGTGTGTCATGGCGAGTACGGTACCGCTTTCTGTCTGGCTGATTTGCATATACCCTTAGCATGAAATCAGGTCGTCGCTGGGCTTTTTCGCCTCAGCGTTCATTTTGTTGACGGTGGCAGCGTCGTCCATACCACTCAGTCCCTACATGAGGCTGAACCCGCTCATGCTGCTTTGGTGATCTCGTGGGTAGCAGTCACGTTTCAAGTTCCATCCTCCTCGAATGCAGGCTGTTCTATTAGGCAATATTTCGACATCTCAATTTCCTCGGCGTCGAGACCTTCTCCCGGAGTGCGATGCATCCCACACCTCCATCCCTTCCCCTCTCCTTCCCTTCCGTTCGTACAATCAAGCGGACCCTTTCGCCATATTGTAGCTGCAAGCAGTACCGCTCTCCATATTCAACGTCTAAGGTCGATCTCCAATCCACGAATCCAGTAGATCCCGGGGAGCATCCCGGACGAGGACGTGCACATGCTCCAAACCCCGAACGCTTTGCAGCCCAGTCCAATTCCTGAACCAGAGCACTCGATCATGCTGACGGTCAGAGTCCCCAGCGACATCCTCCTTTGATCGTTGAGAGCTCAGAGGTTCGACGAAAGTCCTCTGCACGAATCGTTCAACCAAGGCAGCCGATTCCGGTCTCAGGTAGCCTTCCGGCTTCTGCTCCGGTATACGGACCTTAGACCAGATGACGATATGCGTGACGTCGGAAGTAAATCCATAGGGCCAATCATTTAGCAGGATTTTGTAGTCGTTGGGGTCAGTAAATGGGACGGTATTGTTGCACTGAAACGATGGACTCTCTCCATTCACCAAGGGTAGAGCCTTCCAATATAGTCGCTCGCTAAGTATGAATGCAGTGATAGAACCGTACGTATTCTTTGTCTGGTTCGTCCATTTAATATAGCGGCGTAGGTGTGAGGGTTTCCGCTTCAGTATTGCGAGGTTGTTGGTCGCTGCGACAGGGTGAAAAATAGGGAATCAGACAGGCTCACTCGAGGAAGATACATGTATACTACCTATGATATCTTTGAGATCGTCCCAGTCGTGTGGCTTGAAATTCTCATCTCCTCCTGCCAGGTTCTCTCGATCGGTTGGTGTGAGCCCGGGGAATGAGCCAAGCTCAACATCGTCTGCCATCCTTCAGATTGGTGGATGGTGGTATTCCTCAAAGTATTCTAGAACAAGCAAAAAGCAAAGGGACCGATAGTATGCGAAGAGATAGGTGATCTCGTGACTGTCCCATTGACTGCATTTAGCCGAGGGCGGGTAGACCTGCGTCTCAACAATTGTATCACGCTCCACTTTCAAATCACATTCACCACGTCACACAGCCCCATTCCCTTCATATTTACCACCTCTCCCTTATCACAAACATGGAGTTACGGTCCTAGAAGCCAGAGTCTACCTTTCCCACCTAAGCTACCCGCGGACTGTCCAATTCCTCCTCCACGTCGAGCCCGCTCTCCAATCCCTACGCCCACAAGGCACACAACCCCCACGATCCCCTCAAGCCACCTCTCTACAATTCCCTCCGCAGCAATGCACACAATACTCATGGTCCTCCTCCGCCTCCTCGCCTTCTACCTCGGCCTCACAACCACCTTCTTCACCCTCTCCTACTTCTCCGTCCCCACAGCATCCTTCTACGCTCGCCTCCTCGCCTCCTACGGCTGCTTACTCCTCTGCGCTACCTACGGCGTCTTCGCCTCCGTCGCCCTGCGTCTATTCGGCAAGCACCGAATCAGCCAATGGACCGTCGCGCGCGCGTTCAACTACACCATGGCGCTGACCACGGGCATCCGTTTCGAAATCGTCTCCGGGGGGGAGTACCTGAACACGAGACCGTGCGTGCTGATCGGGAACCACCAGTCCGAACTCGACGTCCTCCTCCTCGGCACCATCTTTCCCCCATACTGCAGCGTGACGGCCAAACGCTCCCTCCGCCTCGTGCCCTTTCTCGGCTGGTTCATGGCGCTCTCCGGCACCGTGTTCATCGATCGCTCCAACTCCGCCTCCGCGCACGCGGCGTTCGACAAAGCGGCCGCGGAGATGCGGGAGGAGAGGCAGAGCGTTTTCATCTTCCCGGAGGGCACGAGGAGTTATGCCGAGGGGCCGGAGATGGGGGCGTTCAAGAAGGGCGCGTTTCATTTGGCGGTGAAAGCCGGGGTGGATATCGTACCGGTTGTGGCGGGGAATTATTGGGGCGTGCTGAGTGTGAAGGAGCAGAGGTTTAGGAGTGGGAGAATACCGGTCAAGGGTGAGTGGGGCGCCGTCTACTACCTACGATGTTACTTTGTGCGCTTCGTGGACCGAACGGAGGAGATTTGCTGATTTGGCTGTGATAGTACTACCGCCGATACCAACGGCCCACCTCACAGCGGCCGATGTTGAAGAATTGACACGGACGACGCGGGAGAAAATGCTGAAAGAGCTCGTGGCGTTGACCGAGAGTCCGATGGGCCAGAAAGCTACAAAGGCTCATGTCGAAGCGGGAGAGGAAGATCTCGCAAGACTGGCGACACCGACTGCGATGGCTAGCGGTCTTGAGCGGTAGCTGGGCGAACCTACACAGATGAGAAGGGGAATAATGAGGAGGTGAAGCGAGAAGAGCAGGCCAGAGGTCGTTGAATCACGAAATCTGTCTGCCTGTATAGGCCCATGAGATTTGGGTAGAATATGAGGCTGTGGATGTCGGACGTGTCGCAGCAGTTATGGGAAGACGAGCCAGGAGACGGGAACACCTCTCTCCGCTGGACGGGAGAAAACGCCGGCTCAAGTCCCCCGTGCGGATGATAAGATTGGAGGGGGGAAGCCTCGAATCCTTTGCTCCGCTCAAGCATGGTAGCTGGAAGGCCAAGGGGGGGAAAAGCGGACAATACCCCGTCGACTTAGAAAGCTGAAGACAAGATACCCATCGGGAACGCGAAATTGTTTATTCTTTTCGCTTCTGTTCCATCAAAGATTGGATCATGAGCCTGCTCGAACTTGATCGAGTATTGCATGAGTAGTGTCTTGCACTATGGTACAACCCCAAACGCTCATTACCCAACGCCACGCTTCATGCACGTCAGCTATCTCACATGCCTTAGGTCGCCCATGCTATTAAGGGAAGGCACTTCTACGCCCTTTATTCACGAATGCAACGCCCCCCTGATGCATGTCCTGCTCTCTGCCCAAAATCATCGATCATATCTCTCAGTTGCGTCGTTACGATCACATATCCTCGTCGTCATCGTCATCTTCCATCTGCTCCATCGCTTCTTTGATGTAATGTGAAGCCTAGAACGAGGTCAGTGACCATCTCCCATGAGTCCTAAGAATGAAGACTCACCTTTGGGTCCAAATTCAATGCCATAGTGAAATGCCTGATTGCACTTCCCTTCTGCCTCAGCTGCTTGTAAGCCCTACCTAGCAAGAAATGCACGTTGGCCTCATCCGGCGCGATGTCCTTCAGAACCCGCAACTCCACCAGCGCCCGCTCAGGCTCCTGCAACGTCATCAGTACCCTTGCCTTCTTGAACCGACATAGAGCACTCTTCTCTGACAGCTCGCATGCTCGGGTATACTGTATCAGTGCGGCTTTGGGATTCTTCAACTTCTCGAGTACCAGGCCGATGCAGCAGACGAGAACGGCGTTGGTGGGGTTGATTGAAGCTGCGGTGCGGTAGTGTTGTTCCGCAAAGGCGTATTTCCCTTGCTTCTCGAAGACTTTACCCAGACCGTACCAGGCGTTGTAGTGGCGGTTCTCGGCAGCGATGGAGGAGCGGTAGGCGGAGAGTGCTTTGTCGTATTCTTCATTCGCCACATGCTCATGACCTTGGAGAGTGAAGGCGTAAGCGAATTTGGGATCAAGTTGGGTGGCGCGTTTGAAGCACTTGAGAGCCTGGTCATGATCGCGTTGGAGTGAGAAGCTGTTGCCAACCGCACACCAGGCTTGGGGAGAGTTGCGGTCGATGTCGATGATTTCGTGGGCAAGAAAGGCGAGGTCAATGTCATTCTTGAGATGCCAGAGGGTAGTGGAGTATACCTCCATGTCTTCGAGGCGGGATGGAGCCATGGTTTTTATTCGGGTAAATGTCTTTTCGGCTTCCAAATAGGATGCTTGCTCGTAGTAAGCGCGGCCAATCTGAGCGAGCACCCAGGGGGTGTCTCTCTGGCTTGGAGAAATCGAATTGAAGCATCGTAGTGCATCCTGGCACTGGTAATGGCTAAGAGCGAAGTAGCCGCTTCCAAGCTTCATGAACAGGTCCAGAAGCTGTTGAAGGCCTTCGAATTCCTTCACCTTCTCATTCACTATAGGCTTCTGCGCGGCGGCAGGGACTCCAGAATGTGCAATGGGCCGCTGCTCTTTGCCGTCAATGTCCATGGGGTCGCCATGTTTTCGGTTTCCGCTGACAACACGCCCAACATTGAAGGTGTTCGCGCTTCTGCCTTTCGTGCCGGTTGCCTTCGCCTTCTTGAGCTCCCTGCCTTCTTTCGCGCCGATGCTGCCCGTAGAAGCCGCAAATCTGCCGCTTTGCGTTCTCATATGATTAAAAAGCCGTTGGCTTCTTCTCTGCGGTGCTCCTGGATCATTGGATGTGTCAGCTTCCGGCCGGGAACCGGCTGCTGTTGCTTGCGGAGCCTTGCCCGAAACTGTCCTTTTCAAATCACCAGCACCGTGGCTCGTTGTCGATGATCTGCTCATTGTAGCATTGTCTTGATCTCCAGAATCGCCCTTACTCCTCGACTTCGATCTTACTGTCGAACCCGAACGCATCTTTGGAGGGGCATCAATGCTGAAATCCATACCGAGCCCAGGCAAAGTCCGCTCTTTTCTGGGTGGTGCCAATGGTGGCTCAGTCGATATCGGAGCAGCTGCAGCACGACCACCGATCTCTTTCCCCAAGAATATTGATTCTTCCATGCCTCCGGTTGGACCCGTAGGAGTGTCAAATATCTGGGGATCCGGACGAATGATTGGCTCTATTGGCGTCACATTATTCTTTTTGCTATTGAACTTTTCGAACAACGCCAAGCTAGCGGCGTTGTTGCGAACGTCCCCATTTATACGATTCTTGGATATGCTGAACGGATCGTTGCTTGAAGGTGGTTGGTTGGCGGTATTTACATTGACTTGTGATTGTGAAAGAGCATTTGAAGGCGGAGACTCGTCGAGTACTCCTAAAGGTGTCTCTTCGTTCGTCGAGCTCGACAATATACTCATCATCTCTGGAGTCATCTTGAAGATATTCGGCATCCGGATGTTGACTCCTTCATTGGGTCAGCGATACTTCCGCATCCCTCTTCGGAGCCACGTACCTAAATCGCAAAGCCCAAGGAACGCATCCCACATGAAGGGATTCAGCTTCAATGCCTCGGCGTAGCATTCTATAGCTTTATTCGCATTACAATGGGCTTGCCATAATTTGCCTTGCAGACACAAAATTGCCGCCGCATCTGGTAAATGTTGTCTTCGTGTGTCTGTGTGTTTGCCTGTGGCGTTCAAAGGTCAGCACCTGCCCCCTACGTTCGAACGGGCCTTCCCCATAGACGTACCCCAGCTGTTCCTGGCTGACCACAATCCTTTACTCCGGTCTATAGCTGTCACACCTTCCACGTATCTCTCCAAGCCCAAGCATGCTTGCGCAAAGACGTAGGAGCATCCCAGATGTGTCCCTCTCGACCCAGAGTTCCTACTGCTATCGTATGCCGCCTTCAGTTGTCCCAGCCGTAGATGGCATAGCGCTAGCAGGTATGCGGCTTCTGAGGACCTCGGCTCGTATGCATGCAGTCGGCCTGCGAGGAAGAGAGCGTTTCGTAGGAGGTTGCAGTCTAAGTGATAATAGATAAGCTGTCGCAGTTGGCTGATCATATAAGGGTTCGGGGGAGGCATCTTGTAGGAGGTCATATAGTTAGAGTTCTTTTGGGGAGTCGAAGAGGGTGTCGCCAGTCTTTGGTGGGATCGAAGTGATGTTCGTAATAAGTGTTAAGGTGGATGGTAGGCCTCCAGGGCGGCGTTTCAACTGAGGGTATCCTAGGAATAGTGCAGGATTGCTGCGGACCACCTAGACCGTCATGCGAAGACTTCCATATCCAAGAGGGCGTAACTGCTGTCTGGATTGTCGAGGGAGGGACCTTCCGTTCGAGGTACTGATCTGGTAGCAGGAAATGGCTTTGTTACTGAGAATTAGACGCTGTGTCTGTTCAACACCAAAAGCACTGACACGGCAAACCCGACGACCCGAAGTTAATATGCTTTAGAGGCGAAGAGCATTCTTGGCTAGCTATATCTTGTTTCTGGCGTTGTGAAGCTGTTCATTTGCGATGAGCATTTACAAGAACGTGATGTTTTGACGGCCTGCAGGCGCTAAATGTCAGCCCTACGGCGAAAAGTTGCTACCGACAACCAACCAAGATTGACACGATATCTATCATTGCTAATTCATCAGTGACACTTCTCGACAATGGCACAGGTATGATCTGACTTACTGTAATTGAGTGCGGGTACCATGCTGACACATCCACCAGAAAGCAGCGAAGCAACTCGCCGCGCGCAACACCACCAAGCTCAACCAAACACATCTCATCTCCCTCGGAAACAACGTCTTCTTCCTCCTGATGCGCCTGCTTGTCTACCGCTCCACCTACACACGTAATACACTCCTCCTCTGGATTCTCCTCTCACTTCCCGCTTGGGTCGTCGAATTCTGGCTTGAGCAGATAGGGCGCCCCACATACGCCGAGAATGGGGAGCTGAAGAAATCCGGAGAAGATCTCGAGGCGAAAGGATTGACTGATTTCATGTGGGATTTGATGTATTGGACATGGGCATGTATCACAGCTGCGGCAATGGTTGGGAATAAGGCTTGGTGGATGTACGCTGTGGTGCCGGTCTATTCGGTGTGGGTCGCTTCGACTACGGTGATGGGGTTGAGGAAGGGTATGGCGGGAATGGCTGGACAAGGTGATGATAGTGCACAAGCAGCAGACGCTGGTGGAGATAGCAAGAGGCAGAAAAAGCTGGAGAAGAGGGGAGCTCAGAAGGTGCAATATCGATGATGCATTTCTCTACATCAAGAGTTGCCAGTTGATGGCCACTCTATATGTGATATACTGTGATTTGTGCGACTAGCTGCTCGATTCGATACCCCTCGTTGGTTATGGCATGAGAGTAAGGCTTCTTGAAGAAATGAAGCTCGTGCGGGCTTGGCCAGCGCCAACGCAGCAAGGGAGCATGCAGGTCTATGCGCTTTCCCCACCCAAACGCCTCAAAGACATACAACAGCAGGTTTGAAACTGGGTATTTATCGCCGGGCGGGACTGGAGACCGGCAAAGGGTATCAAAAGCAGAAGACTTGATCGCCCAACTTGCTGACGGGCCTTGGCTTCTCGTAGCCTAATGAGTCGGTTGCTTTCTTCATGGCACTGATCATTGGTGGAGGTCCGCAGAGGAGGAGCTTCATATCAGGGCTTGGAGGAGGCAGTTTAGCCTATGCTCTGTCAGCTAATTGCAGGTGCATAGTCTGCCGTATTTGAGCCCTACCTTAATCATGTCTGGCGTGCAGAATCCGACACCGCCATCCCATTCTTCCGGAGGATTGTTAAGGACGTAATATACCCTGAAATGAGGATCCTCCTTTGCCAGAGCGTCCAGGTCCTCTTTCAACAGAATATCTTCGTAGTTGACGTTTGCAAAAATGAGGTCAACCTCTGTAGTGTCGTTTCCCCCATTCCTGGGTCTTCCCCTAACAATAGCTCTGATTATCTGCAGCATCGGCGTGATCCCAGTCCCACCAGCGATCATGCCGAAATGCTTGACCAGTCCTGGCGCGTATACCATAGCACCCTTGGGGCCCCTGACCTTCATGGTGTCCCTAATGTTGAGAGTTCCCATGTGTTTCGAAATGTTTCCCTGGGGGTATGATTTTATAAGGAGGTCAAAGTAGCCGAGATTCTCGTCGGAGGAGATAGGTGTGTAGGAGCGTATGACTTCTTTAGATTGGCCATTCACGTCAAGGGTAGCTGCAACGGACATATGTTGGCCAATCGGGAGACCAAGGATTTGTGTGCGGGTTTGAAGGCTGAATCGGTAGCTGCGAAGCGTCAACAGATGTCCCGCATGGTGCACAGAGTGAGGATATTACATTGCCACGTTGTGCGAGAGGACTGTCTTCTCCTTCAGAGGAAAATCCTGAAAAACGTCTGGCTTGAGTGCGTTCGTGGCCATCATTTTCTCAGGCATGGGGGCCAGCTCTGGGGCTTTGATATGAGTCAACGTTAGCCCTCTCTCTCTCTCTCTCTCTCTCTCTCTCCTTCTCTCAATGATCCCGTAACGAGAAGGCATAGCTAACCGGCACTGTATATCTTCCATGCTCCTAGCACCAGCGACACAGCTATTGCAAAAGGAAGCCACTCAAATTTGACAATGCCCACACCGAGTATCAGCAGGCCAGAGGGTATGTAGACGCCATTAATGAATTGCGAGGAGAGGAGAGAGGATTGCTGAGTCTGAGACATAGCTGACGAATATGAACCTTGAGTTCAGTATCCAACAATACTGATTGAGGGGAAGCGCCCGCTGTGAATAATCAAAAGTGAAGAGGAATTGTCGAGATCTCTGCATTAGGTCCATTTTGATGAATTAGTCCGGACTCCGGCGTTAGTCCTATCATAGCATCCCAGGTCAACACTTCCTGTTAGCTATTCATAAGGCTTCCAGATTAAACCCTCGAAAGGAGCTTTGGGGTTGGGAGGAAGCTTATGAAGATTTGGGAGTCCTTGTGCAGTTTAGGTTAACTAAGCCATGAACAACCTTTCGGTCATTAAATACAATCAGGGTCTATGTCGTCCACCGAATATACAACGCCAGTCATCTCCCACAAAACATTGAAGACGCACATAAAGGTTCTTTTAAACAGGCCAATGTACAGCTGTGCAAAATGTGTACTCCTCCAACCAAAATCAGCCTTTCAGATATTTGAATGCCTGCTCCCGTTCCTCGATAGGCATCGTGTCCAAGAACTGTTTAAATCCTTTCATGCCACCGTCCTTGTTGGCACTGAGAAGGGCTCCAATATCGGACGCCACGCTCTCCGACTTCAACCCGTCCAGCTTGGTCTGCACACTTTTGCGGTTCTCCTCGTACCATGTCGCCACTGCCCGATCATTGTGCTCAAAATCCTGAATACCAGTCCAGGCACGCAGGGTCCGCAGGCTGCTCGCTCGGGCCTTTGGATCACGAGTCGAAGCTTGTGCCATCTTCTTGATTAGAGACTCTTCGTTAAGACGACGACGAAGGCGCCAGTAGAAGAATTGACGCGCGTTCTTCCATTGAAGTGGATGACGAATTGTGTTCTTGGCCTGCATTCTGCCTGCACGGTCGTGGAGATCGGCGAACTGGAGAGAGATTTGCGAGTAAACGGGCAACAGTAATTGCTCACGCTCCTGCATCTTGACCTTGATATCACTCTGCTTGTCTGAGGAGAGGGATTTGTCCAATAACTGTGCTTTGAGTTCCGCGTAGGTGGCATCAAGACGAGCCATCGTTTCGAGCTGCCTGTCACGGCGGAACTTGATATTCACAATACCCTCGGGTTCCAAAACACCGCCGCGAGCATCTTCATCTGCGTACATCTCCATGTGATCTGGGTTAATAGTAGGATCAACCACAACCTAAGCGTGATGTTAGCACTTATGATGTGATTTGTAGACTTAATCAAGCTTACCCATGAACCTCCCCGAAGCTCACCAAATGGTGGAATGTAGACGAAGATTGGCTGCTCGTACTTGACCAAGGCGTCGACGATGTATGATCCGTATTTGAGGACCTCGTTGTACATGTCGCGTTGCCCACCTGAGAAACCTCTCCAATTGGCAAGGATCATCAATGGTAGCTGCTCGCCATTGTTGAAGTCGCGGATGGCCTGTGCGGTCTTGAAGGCCGAGTTGGGATACCACACCCCTCCAGCTTCTTGCGTGATCTGTTCCATCGAGTCTGGATTCGCTGGGTCTGCAGGGGTGACGTTCTCCACTGAGCGTGTCTCTACCCCAATGACACCTATTGGAATACCGCCAAGTCGGGCACGACCCACAACCACAGTGCGAGCCCAGCCGCCTAAAGATTCTTGAAATGAGTCTCTGTCGAAGAGGCCAGAAAGGAAACCTTCCTCGTCTTCCTTGCCAGCTATAAGCCATCGGACATCGTATGTTTGCTTCGCTGGTGGGAAATAAGCGACATTACGATCCCATGGATCGGAGTGTAATCCAATGGGTATGGGGCTGTTCTTCTTATCAGGCACAAAAGACATCCAGTCAACAATCTTCGAAACGCCTTCAAAGTCATCAGTCGCAGTCATGTGTGAAACACCATTCTTGTACATAATTTGGGTGCCACCAAGCTGAAGATTGGAGGTGTACACCTCACGGCCCAAAAGCTTGTTAATGGCCGCTGCGCCAGTCAGTATGATTGGCTGCCCTTCAATCTGGATGGCTCTCTGCCCAAGGCGAACAAGGTACGCGCCAATACCTAGAAAGTGTTAGCAGAAAATTTTAGCATACTCTGAGTTTACTTACCAACTGATCGACAGGTAACCAATGTGATGGTGAAAATGTCTTCGTAAGCTTTCGAGGTCTCGCCAGCGATCAGACCAGACCCTTTGAGACACTCAACACCTAGACCGTCCTCCTGACCGATGATGGTGGTGATCCTGTGTCGTACTTCACCATGCTCTGTGATTTTCTCTGTTATCACACCCCTTGACTTTCCATCCTCGAATCGCTCCTTCATGGCTGGGGTCAAGTACAAATACTTGAAGCCGGCTTGGGGTTTCTCTGGATCATTCCACGCAGCTGAGAAATGAGGAATCAACTCTTCAGCCATGCCTATGCGGGCGCCAGAGTTTGCTGATAGGTATATCCGCGGGATACCCAATTTCCGCGCAAGCTCTGTACATTTGAAGAAGAACTTGTCTTCTGTTGGGCCAAACGAGCCAATCTTGAAGGTTATATCGTTCGCAACAATGATGAATCTTCGACCTTTGGGGTACTCAGGTGTCTTTGCTGTGACAAGCCATCCAACCATACCATGCGTGTTGGTACCGGCCTCGCGAGAGACTTCCGCGAGATCGTCATGCTCGTCAAGGACCAATTCACTGTAGTCCATGCATTCACCGACTTCGGGCTGTTTGTTGGCCAGCGAAGGATGCTTGCCAACAGCCTTCTGCCAGCTGTTCTGAAAGGCTTGTCGAAAGAGATCTGGGAAATCGTAGACGTATTGGGTTCCCATAAGATGAGCCTTGTACCTCTTGGGCTGCAGCCATTCTTTGGTCGGGTAAGGCGTGGAGACCGGTCTTAGATGCATAGCACCAATCCTTGTGGTGCCGCCGATGCTGTGGAAGAGCCATTCTGGTCCTTTGTCAGACTTCTTCTCGGCGTACATCTCGACTTGGATGACATAGCCCGACGTATTGGTAATGACGCAGCGCAGAGGATAGGGCATTCCAGTACTGGGATCTGTACAGATGATACGGATCTCTGCGCCTGTCACACGTAGCCGCCAGGCCCGTCGACCGAATCGCTCAAGAAAGCCAGCAAGTGCCTCTTCAACTTCCTGTGGCCGGAGAGGAAAGACCGTGGAGAAGTTGATGAAGATGTGGTTCAGGTCAGAATTGTTGTTGCCAATGATCTCTAAAGCATCGAGGATGTCAGTCATAAGTCTGTCGGCTTCTGAGATAAGATATTCAGCTGTGGGGATCTCGTCTCGTAGTCTGCCTGGTCGCACTACGGCTCGCGTGAAGTATCTCTTATCAGTGGCCTTGTCGCTGTTGTCCGCCTTGCCGATGGCCTCATAGACGTGGATATTTCTATTTTCCGTAAACACTGGCTTGATGCGGAACTTGGACAGTCTTCCCAGCTCAAGCTGGAAAGCAAGGGCTGGCTCTATGTGTCGAATGCTGTCATCCTCCTGGTAGGTCGGACCACGGAACGTAAAGTAACCAGGGTATGTTCCATCCTTGTGCCCACAGATGAAGCTGATCCGTCGTACTCTCCGCAAGAGCAGCTCTGACTTGAAATCATTAACGACGTCAGTGATTCTGCTTAGTGTCTCATTGTCGTCGTAGGATTCAACATCTCGAATAGCGACATTGCAGACAGCTGTGAGGTCCGGTTCTGGTTCCCGTCTAGGAGAAGGCTTCCTACGTGAATTTAGTTCCGGCAACAAACCAATCTCGGACTTCTTTCTCGCTCCCATAGCTGGGAAGACCTCCAGTGCTCGCTGTAGGTATTCTTCAGCCTCGTCGAGATACTGCACAGGGACAATGACACCCTTTCGCAAAGGCTCCGCGTCTTCTCGGTTGGCGAGATATGACATGTCACTGATGGAGCTGATACGACTGAACGGGTTGCCCTCTGTTGTGGGTGTGGCGGGCGTCGAAGGAAATGAGGAAGTGACGGGCATGCCGAAATCCTGATGGCCAAGTTTGCGAAGTAAGAAATCCCAGGAAATGATGAAAGGTGGTTCGTAATCAGTGTGGTACTCGATAGCTTTCAGCGAGTAAGCTCGGTATGCACGGCGAATATAGACCTCAAGTGCGGCCAATGAGACCCAAGGGTCATGGTATCCGAAGAACTGTGGAAGAACGTCGAAGACAGTATATTTGGAATCAACCACTTCCCTGAGCACGTCCAAGTTAGGTTCCCGATGATCCCAGCCAGTTTCACCATATTTTGACTCGACTACAGAGGACCGAAGGATGTGCTCCATTTGTGATTCTCGCTCCTCGAGAGACGGCAGAGCGCATTGAATAAGCACCTCTCGAGCCTTGAGAGTAACTTTGGCTGTCGCTCTCGATTCCAAGTCGGTCAGCTTCCGCAGGTGTGATCGGAAATGCTTTGCGACGTTGACAGTATGTGGTTTGTTCGGACGGTACATCTCCAGTATTGCAAGAACAAGATTATTCTTGGCTCCAATCCTGCTGTGCGAGAGTACGGTGTGAACGACCTTGAGTATGTCATCTTTGTTTTGTTCTCTGAGCTTGAGTACGACGTCCTCATCACGAGAGTTCCGGGTTGACCAAAGCTTTTCGACGTCGTAATATTGGTCAAGGAGATTGCAGAAAACTTCGTACTCGTGAACCTTCAGGCCCTCAGTATAGCGATCCATTACCTCCACCAACGGTTGAAGAGCGGACGTCAACACGTTGACGTCTCCAGGGTTGACGTTGTCTTCGATGAAACGAGTCATTGTCTTGGTCAATTGCTTTGCCGGGAATTCTGACTTTCGAGATTTCGCTCGCTCGACAATTTGTGTAAATTGCGAATCTAGCTTGCTGGGCATTCTGGCGTGTAGAGCTGAAAATTGAGCATTCCATTCGCCATAGGGTAACTCGGGGTCACGGAGGACTTCAATCAACTCGTTTAGTGTAGAAGCCATGATGACTTGGTTGTCGAAGCCTTGGAGAATATTTTGTAGGATACTGTGCAGCAAGGCGAATCTCTGCGGCGGTTTGTTACCAACCACTTGAGGTGGTCCAAGAGCAGGCAACTGAGCTGAGAACGGCTGCGCGTGCTTAACACGAGATGGGTCGTCCAAAGCAAGTACACCCAAGATGTCGCCTGCTTCCAGGACTGCTCCGGGCTGCTTGATAAGGTTCACTGTGCCTGCTTCCTGCGTAATTAATGGCATGTACATCTTCATGACTTCGACCTCGGCAAACGCCTGTCCAGCTTTGACGTGCTCGCCATTCTCTACGGTGAACTTTACAAGCTTGCCCGGACTGGGCGTTCGCAGTTGAGTAGGGTCGTTCTCTTGCTCGAGGAGACATGTCTTGCTGTCGACGCTGATACGAGTGGCACCGACTTCTTCCTTCCAGTAGACGTTGTGGCTTTTTCCGCTGAGCAAGATGAGAAGTCCACCGTCGGCAAGAGCCCGCACACCAACAGCGCACTTGGATCCATTGATGAAGAGATGGTAACTATCCACACTAGACCGTGTCGCCGTGAACTTGTAGCGAATGCCTTCGTAGATAAAGTCGACCAGGAAAACGGTCTTCAGAACATCTTTCGCGGGGACCTGGCCCTTTTCGAGACCCTTCCGATACTCTGCTATGCAGCCCTCGCTCGCGACGTGGGCTTTAGTGACGGCTCCAGAAACCACAGCTAAAATTGGATCAGGTCTCTCCGCCGTCAACTTGTTAGTGATCAGCTCATCAAGCCAACCGGTCGTGATCGTATTGTCCTCGAAAGCAGGTGTCTCAAGGAGCTTGATGAGGTATTCAACCGTTGTGCGGAAGTCACCGCGGATACTAAGTTCCTTCAGCGCGACGACCATGTGTTTTCTAGAAGCAGACCGATTTTCTCCATATGCAAAGATGTGGCCGAATTGGCTGTCGGAGAAGCTGTGGATACCTCCCGCAGTACCGACAGAGAAGTAACCCCACACATTCGAGCTACTTCGGAAATTGAGTTCATGCATCATACCGCTCGAAGGCTTGAAACCCTCACCAGGATCTTCCGACGTGATACGACATGCCGTCGTGTGGCCTTTTGGAGTTGGTCGCCGTTGAGATTTGAGACTGTCTTGGTTGGAGAAGTCGAAGTCGATTTCCGATGTTGACTGGGGGTCTGCACCGTACAATATTCGAATATCCCGTATTCGGTGAAGGGGGACACCCATAGCTATTTGCAATTGGGCAGCTGGAAGGTTGACACCGCTGACCATTTCCGTTGTTGGATGCTCTACTTGCAATCGAGGGTTCAGCTCCAAAAAGTAGAACTTGTCATCAGCATGCGAGTAGAGGTACTCTACAGTGCCGGCGGAAACATAGCCCACAAGCCTGCCAAGCCGAACGGCAGCCTTCTCCATGGCTCGAAATGTCGCAGTATTGGCGATTGTGACGGGAGCTTCTTCGATAATCTTTTGATGTCTCCTTTGCACTGAACAGTCCCTTCCGAAAAGAGAGATATTGTTCCCGTACTCGTCGGCCAGCAATTGTACCTCCAAATGCCTAGCATTTCCGGCAAGCTTCATTATGAATATGGGCGATCCAGGCACCTCACTTGCAGCGGCATTGTAAAGAGCTGTGAAATTCTCCTCATTGTCCACTTTGCGGATACCCTTCCCTCCACCTCCTTCTGAGGCCTTGACCATCACAGGGAATCCGATCTTGCGAGCTGCTTCTAGACCCTCCTTGGGTGAGTGTGTGCATCCTTTGTCGTAGACGTCATCGTCGACCGCCACAATGCCTTCCTCGTCAACTCGGACCTTGTCGACTCCCTCACCAGACCAGGGTATACATGGGACTTTTGCGTGTTGCGCAACGATTGTGGAGGATATTTTGTCACCCAGGGACCGCATTGCCGAGCCCGGGGGGCCGATAAAAATGATTCTCTTGGGCGATGCTGCCAAAGATTCGGGCAACTTTGGGTTTTCTGAGGCATGTCCCCTATGAGAGTATTAGCCCTGCCCAAGACAAAGAGCGGAGCGAATGCTCACCATCCTGCCCAAACAGCGTGGACGTTCATTCGCTCAGCGATATCGACGATCAACTCCACGTTTGCGTAATTGTTGTTGTTCGTGCCGCCGGGGACCTGTGTGCACGAGATCAGCACTTGGTTTTGCCATCCGGAGCATTTTGGTGCCAGAACGCTGGCAGCCTTCCCGAGGAGATGTACTCACCTCAACGTATTGATCCGCCATCCTTATGTAGTCTGCATTCGCGGCCAAATCTTCCGGTGTGGCCATCACCGTAAATTGTATGGCCCGCTCGTCTAAAAAGGTTTCGTAGGCCCATTTTCGTACGGATCTTATTTCCTTGACTGCAGCAATACCGTTGTTTGCAATGAGCACCTATGTAGTTGGTCAGTCTAGCACAACGCCACTTCGAAAGCTGTGTCTGGGAAGCTTACGCTAGTAATGACGGTGTGCCCATCGTGGTTGGTAACGAAGTCCTTGACGGACCCTGCTGCAGCTACTCCTAGATGATTGCCGCCGATGAAGTGGGGTGGCATCTTAAATTTGGCGGCGTAAGAGCTTGAATGCCTCGGACGCGATTGCTCTTTGGTGGGGTGCGCATCGCCATTTGTCAATGTGCCATTGGTCTTGGGCGCCCCGTTGGCCGTCACAGAAGCCATCTTGTCAGTGCTGCCAAAATGGCAGGAAGTATGGATGGTTAGTCAGTAAGAAGTGGTCGTGGATGTTATCGGAAGGATTCCAAATTGCTGGCAACGGTGTGTCCAGCCCAGCTTTGCTTGAGGATGTTGTCGAGAGGGAGAGTGGGAGTGCTAGAAGATGGAGTGAATGAAGCGGTTGATGACCAAGAATGTTGTACTGTCGCCGATGATGTTAGAGTCGGTGTGAAGAAGTGTAAGAGTAAGAGGCCGGCGTAAGCAAGTGTTAAAATTCGATGGCGCCGAGAGTATTCAGCTATGTACAGTCAGCCGAACTGCATGAATACCTATATCATTGACTCCGCCTTTTTTCGGCGACTTCAAATGAGGATGCAAGCCGCTTACTAGTTCGGCCCCCCACCGTAGAAGCTACTCTACCCCTTCTCGCTCTTCAATTTTTATGCACCTTTCGGCAATCTACGGGTTGTCACATAAAGCGACTCTTACTCTTCGCCATAAATATCTACATCGGCAATCACGCGCCATCCAGATCATCTGAGGCTCTAGAATGAGAATTGGATGATGAAAAGACCATTGTTGGGCCCCCAGGCACTTCTAACTTCCTACGAAAATTTTGACAGAGGCCCTTCGTTGGGTGGGACTAAGTTATTTTCGGTAAGCGTAAGTACCAGCACTAAAATTTCTCAACCAGACAAATTTTCTTCCTTTTCTCGTTCCTCGAGGCGTCGAAGGACGACAATTATTTCATATCGATGCTCTTGCTGTTCATGTTTTCAGCGTCGATCATGCTCGTCGTTCTCTAGAAGCCAGAGAACCTTGTGAAATTGTACTACACCATGTCAGGATGTGGTAAAGGTGAATCGGACACCGAGAAACCTATCACATCCCTCCGTCTCCTAAATCCTGCCACACCTAATACAATCCATCGTTGCGTTGGCTTCGGACCAGCAAAGTCCTTCAAGCTGTGCCTTTGCTTTATTTTGCAATTGTTGAGGACATGCCACCCAATTTCTCGCGCATGTTCGTCGTCGCCTCTTCCGCATTGTCAATATTCAATTAGCGAATGTTTACCAGAGTGTATTCGAAGTCTTGTGAGATTCTTTCATTTCGTAGAGGTTCGGCTATATACACAGCGGGTGTGTTTCAAGTCTTAGCTCATGGGTATATTAGAGAACCCTTCTCGCAGACACGCACCCAGAATGACGACTGCATCTCTCCTTTCATTGAACAAGATCGTTCATTCGCATTTCAAGGTCTCATCGTTTGCCTAGCTCTCATGACGATCTAATACGAAATCATCTCAGAGAGCAGCCATGATGGCAATGAAAGCGCCGAGACATCCACCAACCGACGCAACAGCCTTGATAGTGGCACCAGTGAATTGAGCAGCGTAAGTCGAGGTCGTGCTCCCGCTTCCGGTTCCCAGTGATGAAGATGCAGCTGTGGAAGAGGTTGTGGTTGATGTGGTTGGGAAAGGTGGGGCAAGGGTGGTAGCTGCAGCACTGCTTGCAACGACAGCTGGGTTTGAGGATGTTGAAGCTGTCAAGCTGGAAGAGCTGATAGTAGAGGCTTCCGTTGGTGTTGCCGATGCCGCGCAAGCACATACAGCACTTGCTAAAGCCCCAAACGGTTACGGCACCGCAGCCTTTGAGGATGCTAGGGAGAGAGCTGCAGAGTGATTCGCTGCTGCTGAATCTCATGAGTAGGAAGGTCGTTGTTGAATGATGGACTAACCCAAATTCGATGGTACACATTGACATGAGAAGGCGGCGGGGCCGCTGCAGATTCTATCGCGCAAACCTCTTTTTCATCGTCAGCTCTGTGTCAACAGAGGACCGCAAGATCAAAATGAATTACAGCGCAAAGTAGCCACACGTTGATCCTGAGCTTGAGTGATCGCCGCGTGGCCGAGGCCCAAGAAGATTGCATCAGGCATCGTGATTGCTAAAGAGAGAAACTTTTCGAAAACCTTCGAGCGAGTGAGCGGCAAGCAAGTGTCCATATATTCGGAGGGTAAGAGATGGATCAGACGAAGATATGAGTGGTTGGGAAGGGGACTGGTGGGGATATTCAGATATCCAAGATGGTCTTGACCAAATCTTAGTCAATGCCAGTACGGGAATTGTGTCAATTATGTGGAAATTGGTGTCTGCCTTTGGGAAACCTGCCCTGACGCCAATGATGACCCGCTCAGTATGTTACAAACCGAATTGGTTAGTTCATCGGCAATATACTATTTTTAGCCAGATACTCCGTAGTCTCAGTAAAGTACATGTACTTAGAGCCTTTTGATACTTCGTGGCGGGGTGGATAAACAATCTTTCCGGGAGAAAATTCGAGCCCTCGGGTATCGCACACCACCAAATTAATTCAAACTCCAAGGTCGACGACGACAACGGCCGTATCTCCAGGGGCCATTACACCAACGCCAGTACGGCGGACGACGGCTGACACTACGACAAAACTACTTTCTTTTCTTATCCTGTTTAATAAATAGATCCTTCCGTAGTCTGAATAAATGAACATTTATACCTACTGTATACTCCCCAAGACAGAATCCTTCGACGTGTTTTAAAGCTCCTGCGGCCGAATCCCGGCGGGTTTAACATCAACTCCTCCCCGTGTTATGCCCTCATGTTTGTACTCACTTTCATACTCGCTTCTCTGACGTCGTTTGTGAGACTACATCCTAACCCATCCATCCATCTATTCAAACCCTCATCCTTTCGCTTTCCAAATTCCTACCAAAATGCCTACCCAACACGGCAGCCTACCTAGTCGGCAAGCAAGTCAAACCACCGGTCGTAAAAGCCGCGCCCTACACACCACCAGAAGCGCACGAGTATCGTCGTGAAAAACCACGCCGTGGCCATCAATCCGGTCGACTGGTTCAAACAATAAGTCGGAAACCTGCTGCTCAGCTGGATCAAGTACCCTTTTGTACTGGGCGGCGACCTGGCTGGTGAAATTGTCGAGGTCGGGAAAGGGGTTACGCGCTTCCGAATTGGTGACAGAGTGCTGGGTCACGCTCTGGGGATGGACGGGGAGCGAAATCGATCAAGCGAGGGTGCTTTTCAGCAATACACGGTTATCAGAGACAATATGGCAGCTTCGATCCCCGAATCTCTTTCTTATGAGAACGCTTGTGTCTTGCCATTGACTTTATCTACTGCCGCTACGGGCTTATTCCAGAAAGACTGTCTCGCATTGAAGTATCCTTCCGTACCTCCAAAGCCCAATGGGGAAGCGCTGCTCGTTTGGGCACGTTCATCAAGTGTGGGGAGCAATGCTATTCAACTCGCGACAGCTGCAGGCTATGAGGTATTCACCACTGCTTCTCCCAAGAATTTCGCGTACGTCGAGAGACTCGGTGCAAGTCAAGTCTTCGATTATCGTAGCCCAACCATCATCCGAGATATTATCCTCGCGCTCAAAGACAAAACGCTTGCAGGCGTCCTCGCTATCGGTAACAGCGGAGCTGAATCCTGTATCGCTGTCCTCGAGAAATGCAAAGGCAGAAAGTTTGTTGCTATGGCGAGTTTCCCTTGGCCGGAAACCCTTCCGGAAGGCTCCGGTCAGACCTTGGCTATCATTTCTTTGATGTTCTCGGTTGTCCGGTGGCAAATATTGATGTGGCTCAAATCAAAGATCAAGGGCATTCCCACCAAATTCTTCATTGGGGAGACGCTTCAAAACAACGAGGTCAGTCATGTGGTGTATGAGAACTTCTTACCCCAAGCTTTGACGGAAGGGACGTATGTTACGGCGCCGGAACCCTTCGTCGTTGGCCATGGTCTTGAGTATATTCAGGAGGCATTTGATGTCCAGAAGAAAGGCGTGTCGGCGAAGAAGGTAGTTGTGACTTTGTGATATATTCCGGTTGACTCGAGCATTGGAATCGAGGGAAGAAGGGTTGCGAAAGCGCATAAGCTAAATTTACGTCGTTACGGAAAATGGCTATTCTGAAGCTGAGATTGTTGAACAATAATCTCAAGAGACCGGTATGGCATGGCACATGGACTGGCTGTCGAACAACTGAGAGAAGCCATGAGCGAAGGATGAGCTAAGTGCGTGGCACGATTGTGGGCAATAGTACCATCTATGATGGATTGCATTCGAGCTTTTTGGAGAAAGCGTTGTCGACTGTGACGCAGAGTGTCACGCTGGCTGTGGGCCAGGCGCTGCCGGCGGCGGAGGTTGGAGTGGGGAAGTTGAGTAAGGGTGGGTCGTAGGATGTTTGGGGTGAAGGCTGTTGTCGTTGTTGATCATTTGTTGAAAGTTTGACGGAATGGTGGAAACGAGGTATACGATATAGCTGCGCGTGTTTGGATGGATATCAGCCCTTGTCTCTTTTCTGTTGGGTTTTCTAGGGAAGTATTCCCTTCACAAATGCCTCAACAGTGATACCTGGATACGTTGGCCCAGCTGAAAAAGTTCCCCATACCTGAACGCGTAACAGCATGCTGCGGCAAGAGGTTCAAGGAGGGGTGAAAGAGATTGGGTTGGACGAGGTATATCAAGAGAAAGGAGCTGCGCAGACCGTTGACAAGGCTTTATGGACTGGACGCACTGACTGGTCTAGCAGTGTCACAGCTCCAGCCTCATCGCGCTACTGACAGTTTGACGTAAATCGTAAACCAATGCCTTTCTCTCTCGCTAAAATATCAACATAGCATGCGCATCAAGGGTATCTATTAACAGGAACAATCATCGACCACCACACCACCAATGCACGAGAAAATATCCCATATCATAGGCCAGTGATGCTCAATACTCTCCTCCAATCCTCCCTTTCAAAAGCTATACACCCTCACCTCGTTATCGTCCCCCCCAGTACACATGCGATTGTCGCTTAATCCTAAACAGCTGATTGGGCCTGCATGCCCTGTAAAGGTGCGCTCGCACTTCCCGGACCGAGTATCCCACACCTTGACCATCCGATCTTCGGCTCCACTCACCACGCGTAGGGAGTCCGCTGCCAGTGCCCAAACGCCCTCGACGTGCCCGAAATACGTGCGTAGGCATCTGCTTGTGTATGTGTCCCAAAGCCGAATGGTAGAATCCAGAGCACCGGTCAGCATGTAGCGGGGTGGCATTTGGCGGTCGCATGCTGTGAAGCCTCGGCCGTAAGGTTCTGCGATTGGTTGGGTGGCGGATTGAGGACACTGCGGATGAGATTGGGTGCTTGTGGTTGAGGAGGCGCCGTCGTTGTCGTCGACTTCTGTGTCTTCGAAGTCGAAATCATGAGGTAGAGTTACGACTTGTTGTACTTGTCCAACATGACCCTCAAACGTCTTGATACAAGACTTGGTGTCCAAATCCCAAAGTTTAACGGTGCAGTCGTCGGAAGCGGAGAGGACGGTACGAGAGGCGGAATCCACTCGAACAGCATTGACCCAGTCGGTGTGGCCACGCAGCGTAAATCTTGAGCTATCGGTGAAATTCCAAATTTTGATCGTTTTGTCCATCGATGCTGTCGCTAGGAGAGATGAATCGAAATGCAATCCGACGATGCCATTGGAGTGCACGGCGTGGGTCGCGATACATTCTCCCTTCCTCCAGTCCCATATCTTGACAGTCCTGTCGATACTGCCACTGATGAGTTTCGAATCGTCGAACTGGAGACACCGAATTCCAGAGGCATGCCCCTTTAGTGTTCGGATCTCTTCGCCCGTAGCTATGTCCCATACTTTTATCGTTGCATCATATGACCCCGTTATTAGGACCGAATCGTCAAATTGCAAACACATAACCCCGTTCTGATGTCCTCGGAAGATCTTGAGGTCGTGCCGCCCATGTTTCCAATTAGTTCCGACGCGGAAACGATCTTTATAGACGTCCTTCCATGGTCGAGTTCGTGGTCGAAAGTACGAGTCGTCAGCCTGGGTAGTCACCCGTGAAGGCACTTGGTTCTTGACGAGAGGAGCCATGAGTTCAGCCATTGCCGACATCTGATCTTTAGCGCCAATGTTCGGGACTACTTCCAAGGCAGCCTCAGGATATGGCGTGATATCTGGTGACCACTCATTCAGTCCCCTACCAGTAGCTCGCAGTTGAATCTGTCTCTTTGAGGCCCTGAGCCTCTTCCTCTCCAGCAGTGGTAGACCCCAGCCGCACTTCGTACACTTTCTATCGATATGCTGCTCGCACATCCTATGCCATACCACATCATCATCGGCGAGCGACCTCCATCGCTGGCTGACTTGAGCTGCTTTACACAAGGATGTCGTGTCCAGAAAGCAGAGAACTTTGTAGGATATTTCTGGTGGTAGGGCGGTGAGGAAATCGATGCGGATGAGATCCCGGACATTAGTTGACAAATATGACAGTTGTGGGAAGCAACATTGTGTGAGTATTCCTGAGAGCCACATGTCAGCACAGATGAATGTTTCGAGCAGACTTGTTGTGGAATCTACCCTGGAGCATGAGATTGCGATGTTTGGCAGGAGCAGCTGAGAATAGTGACCACACATGAGCAATGGCCTGCTGATCGCTTTGCGAGAGGTCTTCAAGCTCCTACAGATAGTGAGCATATTTTCGTTGGTCAGGTGACACAGGTGGACTTACGTGCTGGAGCTGATCCATTGAAGGCTCGTTGGCCTGTCTCCTACACTTCAAATCCGGCCGATGCCTGTAACAGTATTTGGTATTCGGGTCTTTCACTTTTGCATTTCCTGATGAGTCCAAGCCCCCTGCAGGTGCATACTGTTCCGGGATATGTTTGGCGAGGAATGGTGCGACTGTTTGCTCTGCCTGCTTGGACGAAGCTGATATAGAGATATTCTCATGATTGTCCTGACAGACGTCTTGGCCGGCATCAGTGCCCCCAGTATTAGAGCCTTGTAGTGCTGGAAGAGCATCCAAGAACATGTCTTGTGGTAGTGTGATCCTCCTCCTCTTTGAAGGGCTTTCTAAGTAATGGTCTGTTTCGGAGTATCTGCAATGGTCTTCTCCTGGGCTCGTCATTATGTTCGCAGAGCCGCGTAAAAAAATGTTGCAGAGCCTCGAAGTGATCAACAACGGTCTTTGTAGGATGTTTGAAAATGTATGTGCTGGCTCGGAAATGTTCGCAGATTCGCAATCGATGGCGTGCGAAGGCGAGTTTTTTGTGATTGGTCGTTCAACCGGCAGGATTGCTGTCAAACGTGATATATAGCAAATATGATGAGCTGGAAGAGCCAAGCTCCATTGGATATTTTCATCTGACGTGGTACAACTTCCCTATCACGACCGTTCAAACTTGCCATATCGGCCAAAAGCAAGCTGGTCCGACTCCACTTTTGCTGTTCCAGACTCCGGGTTTTGCCACGGTCGCTTATCGCGGCGGCTAAAAATGGACCCTTGCCAAGCGTGCTAGCTTTGCGAAGCTTTTGTCTCTTGCTGGAGTGCTGCAATATGCAAATCAGCCCGATCAGCAGCTCGCAGGTAACTACACCAAGGCCCATGATGCCGTTCAAATTTGGCTTTCCTCGACTTTCTTCGACTTCCGTTTGACATATTAGCAGGCGCAATGTCAAAAAGGTCAAGCAAGTGGAGCGTTACAAGTCCGCTGAAGCTACAAAGACAATATCAGCCCAAACATGAGGTTTCTTGTTTTCGATGATGGATCCCTTCTCACTCGTAGTCGGCGCTACAGGTCTCCGATATACCAAAAGCTTGGCGGTGCTGGCCAAAGTCGACTGAATCAGCTCAAACCGCCACTCAGTGACAAGGATCACAAAGAGGCTATCGTGCAACTCAGAGCCTTTCCCCAATGGTTCCAATTTGCTTTGACCGTCGATGGCTGCGCCTTGCTCTCCAAAATCTCATCAGATGTGTTAGCAATCTTGACGAAGCAATCAGATACCTTCCAGTTGCTAGGGGACATTGACCGTTGGACCTGCTCAATCGAGCTATCACTGACAAATCAACCCCGAACCTTGAGGGATGGTCGCGCTGTAGATGAGCGAAAAAAAGGTCCTGGACTGGTTGTCGACCGTCAAACACGAACAAAACAACCGTGACATTCACATGCCACGAATGGGTGGAACCGGAGAAAGGCTGCTGCATGAGGTAGCATTTCGAGGTTGGCGTGATAACCACGAATCCCGCGACGATGTTTTGTGGTGTCATGGTATTCTGGGTTCTGGAAAGTCTGTGCTTGCGTAGGGTCATTCCCAATACACGCCCAGTTGACAGTGTTCAGGTCTCTGGCAGTCGATCGGCTGAGAGACGCTTTGTCGGATCAAAATGTTGTGGTAGCACATCTCTATTTTGAATTGCGAGATCAAGATTATCAATCAACAGAAAATATGCTCGCAAGCTCACTTAAATACCTTGCCATTCCGAAGACAGAGGTCCCTAAGTCAGTATTGGAGCTCCATCGGAGACTGAATAGCCTGCCAAAAAGGCCACAGCAATAAGGATTACAGCAAGCACTTGTCTTTACATGCCAGGACTATGATTGAGTGTTCATCGTCATTGACGCAATGGACGAATGCGACACGAATAGCCATGAAAAAGCTTCTTTGAAAGCTTTAGAAACGCTTCGAATAAAATCAAGCTCAAGTATCTTTGTTACTAGTCGTTCTTACCCAGACGACATCAAAAAGACTTTCGGAAGCGCTCCCCAGATCATTATTGGCGCTGACGATGACAATTTGCAGATATACATCTCGAGGGAGATAGACGGGAGCGACAACTTCGATGTCATTGAGAGAGAGTTCAGGAAAGAAATCATCGTGATCGTCAGCCAAGCCGCCCAGAAAATGTGCGTCGAATGTCCTTCACTAGATCATTGGATTGTTTTTTTGATATAGGCATAAATCGAGGCTAAGCTCCTGTGGCTCGATAGGTTTCTATTAGCGGTACTCCAGATCCAGGCGATCCTCGCTGAGCCTACTTTTGGTGAAATGGAAGAAACCCTGAGCACCATACCTTGGGGTTTGAATGGCGCTTTTGAGGAGACATTGCAGAGGATCCACAAATTACCAGACGGGCGCAGAAGACTAGGCTTGAGCACGCTGATGTGGGTGTCTCATGTGAGCAAGCCCTTGACGGTCACCGAATTAACCGATGCTCTTTCAATAAAGCTAGGCCAAATGTTTCTAAATACGAAGTACTGACTCTCACAAAAGATGACCGTCGACTGTTGTCTGGGCCTAGTCACCGTGGACGAAGAGGGTTCTGTGATCGGCCAGGTGCACTCTACGGTTCAAGAACATTTTTGCAAACACCTAGATCCGACCTTTGCCTTAGGCGAACAGACGATTGCGGAACTGTCGATTACACATCTACTGACAGAGTCGTTTGCGCAAGGATGCTGTCCGGACGAGATCAGTATCATAGCGGTGATATCTCATCACCCCTTCATCAAATATGCAGATCAGCTCTAAGGATACCACGTGCGAGTTGCCAACAGCGAATGAGCTAATAGACTCGCACTGAATCTCCTTAAAGCTGGATCTCAGCTTGCATTTTTCGATCAAATCTTGCATCACATGCGATGTTACATAGAAACATACAGGGAAGCCAAAGAAGCCAGCAGGGTCAAAAGTCTGCATGTTGCCGCTTACTTTGGGCTCGAAGACCTCTCCAAGCAGCTTTTGGATACTAAAGTAGTTGACATCAATTCTGCAACTAGTATGGGGACGACAACTCTGATACATGCCTCAGCAAGCGGGCGTATTGCCTTTCTAAAGATGCTCTTGAAAGAGGGGCGGATACTCGAAAGGAGAATTGGTATGGTACTGCTCTTCATTGCAGTGTGGAATCCCGCGAGGTGTCATCTATCATCGAGCTACTAGGAACGGGGATCGACCTCCACTATACATCTATCCTCAAATCATCTACCGACGCCCGTTTTGTTGTTATACATTCTGAAGTCGTGCTCCACAACCTTCCGACCCTGGCGTAGATAGCAGCAGATGGGCTCCGTAGTGTGAGTCCGTAGACGGTTTGAGGCGGCATTCCCACCTTCTTAGTTGCTCTCCTAAGGGTGCGTAGCAGAAATTGAACTACACCAACAAGCCGCAATCCATTCTCTAATCCATAGTAATTAGTGTGTGTTCATTGAATGAAATCATTGTTGAATACTTTGAACTTCCCCAGCCGAGCCAGCCCAGCACATGAAAGCATGAGGGTGCGTAGCGCCCATCACGCTACTCAACTCCTTTTTCGACGACATCTCTTGGTACGGAAATTCATCCTCGCCTGTAGTGAAGCAACCATGCTGGAGACATGATGTTGAAGAATGGTGCGGCATCCTGAAGTCTTGCGATAAATCTCATCTGTTCAATTGCAGCTATGGCTGCGGCTGCGAGATCAGGTAAAGCGTCTCTGAAGGGGAAGCAGACGCTTTCAACCCATCGCTTTCTTGCCACAAGCATCTTGCAACAATTATATTGTCGCCTTATGAATTGCAAAGCCTTAGACTGATTCTTTTCATGTGTCACTGGAGGCGAAGATCGTCAAAGTTGTGACCGTAGAAGCCTTGATGGTGAATAGGCCATGTGGAGAACAGGATCATTGGAACGCAGGAGCCTCCGAGGTTCCCAGCGAACAACCGACCTCGACCCCAATAATTGCTTGGGTATGAAGGCCAGTTTCATTCTCGTCGAATGCTCTGATAGGATATTGCAACGCGTAGCGATCGCCAAACTTCAACGCTTTGCCCATGGTAACGTACTCGAGAGAGTGGCGCCTCCGGACAGCTGGAAAAACACTGCACTAAGCACACAACCTCGGTTATGCTTTTGTTATTCTTCAATGCCTCCGCGCTCTCTCAAGAAGCTTCGCTCCGTGAGGCTCGTGAACGTGTAAGAGGGAAGAGGAGGTGGAGGAGGAGGGTCGATGAAGTTTCCTAACAAGGTTAGCACTTGTTCGAGGAAGGGCCGAGAGAAGTCGCAGGCCTTTGAAGAGTCCACGTAATTGGTCTGTTTTGACCGGTCTAAGTTGTTGCTCCAGTTGCCAGGCGCAAAAGGGAAGGTCAAGACGCCGTAGATGAAAACAGGACCTTTGAGAACACCACCAGAGACAGTGGGGATGCGAGACAGAAATGCTGACCGTCATCAAAGTTAATGCTGGCTGTTCAAGAGCGAGACGATGGTGTGTGTTGGTTGGTGAAGCCCGCTGGAAGGGCGTCCGCGTCTAGGCGTGAGATCATACGCGAGATCCATAAGGCTGTATGGTATGTTCGAAGCTCCTGAGTTCGAGCGCTTGTGCTTTTCTGGTGGATTTTTGTTTCACCCTCCGAAGCTGTCAGTCTTGCAGATACTTTTCCCCCAGTCATTGCTGTATGGTTTTAGGAATTTTGCTGCTTCTTTTTCTGGCCCGGTACGGCTATACTTGCATTGTGTTGGTCTTTCCACTGTGGCGACCGGAACTTGCATCCCTTCCTGGCCGCCACCACCCCTGCCAACGAACATGCAGACACCGTTTACTGGTGACGGGCGCTTTGTGACGATTACAAGGCTTTACATCATCGAAGTGTTGCTTTTTAGTAGAAGTCTTTACTCTATTTTGAAGGTGGTGCGGGAACGTTGTTGACATACTATATAATTGAAATTGGAAGATTTCCTTCCATCCGGGGCAGTGGTCTAGTTTTCATCGCTTTCCAAATCGAGTCCGCTAACAAAATTACCACAGATTACCCAACAAAACACGACTAAGCATCCCCCCGACCCTTCCAGCTAACACCGGTTAGCCTCCCGATTCACCGACAACTTTGTAAGCCCGAGGCTTTGAGGAAGCATTTCATAGCTGCGAAACCTGACTAGAAGGTTGCCAGTTCGATTCCAAAACTGGTAGTTTGCTAGTGCGAACGAGAAAACTAGCTGAGTTTGCTGGTTTCTCTACGATCGATTATATACATAACATGTGCGCAAACATCAACACCGAGTAAGTACAAATTTCTTTCAAGACCACTGCCCAGTTTTCTTTTTGGGATTTTTTTTTTGCCCTCGGTTTTCACAGAGCTTCTACTTGCACAACTGATTCTTGCTTTGAACATGTAACGCGGGAGCATTCTTTGTTGTACTACTTCCCGAAAGTTGTTTGGATCTACTAGTACCCGTTCAACACACCTAGACCGGCGCGTTTGCATTCTGCTATCTCGACCCGAAATCGCGACACGGCTCTTCTATGCGATGACGAGGAAACAGATAATACTTTCCGCAGGCTCGGTTGCTCATATAGTTAATGCTATTACTGCGGATTCAGCAAGCTTGAGAGCTCGAAGCTATCGGTTACTGCTACTGCTGCAGCTATAGACCTGGGAAGCTTGAGGTTTCGACTGTGGATTTGCTGTGTCATGCATCATTGTTGTCCAAAGTCATGCTTACCATATCATTCATAGCCCGTCGCATCCTGCCGCTTGCAAATGCAGTCCAGGTCAATTGACACACTCGCCGCTGAAGGACACACGCTTCATATGCCTGTCTTCAAAATATCAGTCAGAACTGCTCTAGTATTCCCCATATTCATTACTTCACTATTCTAAAGGCAATCTATCTGCTATTGTACAAGCGCACCATTTCATCCTATCATCCTGATACGAGGTGAGCCACCACATTGCGACCCTTCTGCAAAACTTGGTAGAAGAACCCGGCAACCCAAGTACGCACACTTTTCCAACGCGGCTCTCTTACTTGGTGAACCAGCCAAGGCATGGTACGTACACGTAGTCGAGCTCCAACCACAACCACAACTCCTCCTCGTTGGTTGTTACACTGGCAATCTATACACCGGCAGCAAAGATCAAGAGTCCAAGCAGCCCCCAAGCGCTCACATCCCGCCAGCCGACGTTCTTAAATTTTCCGTTGCACACAAGCCTCGGTACTTTGGTGGGATGCCTGCGTAGTCCTCAGGATCCTCAGCATTGCCTCGCAGAATGTCTAGAACATTAGATTGTATCGGAGCAAGCGTGGTTTCGAACCAGGAACGGTCTTCGATTTTCCACTATCTTGCGGTACTAGTACAACGCGACAGACTCTCGAGTTAGTCAAAGCATGTAGGCTCCATTTCCGTTCCCAACCTTGTAGGAACTATATCACACAGATTCGCCCTTCGGAGGGTATTCGTAAGCAGCATCCTGGCAAGCTCTTCTTCCGTCACCTGAGCGTCATCGACCGTCATAGTAGAAGACTGGTTGGCCTGATAGCTCGAACATTGACCTGAATCTGGATCACAGACCATGTTTTATCGATGCAGCCTAGTATACCTGGCCTCGGGTCGTTGTTGATGTAAGCGGTCGTGTTCCAGCTGTCGGTCTCATTGAACCTGGCCACTGTTGTCTTGGAAACGGCAGGGAAACCCGGGTCCTGGCGATACTTATCGTAAATCAATCCCTTCGAGTAGATCAGAAAGCTGTTCGCATAGCTGGATCTGGTGAGATCTCTAAGGGGGATGGTGGAATAGACCATATTCAGCCATTATTCGGCTGTATTGCACAGATCTAGGATCAGAGTCAATATGACCGTCGTCATAGCCCAGGGAAAGGATGAATCGATGCTGACCCAAGTGCAGTGTTTTTTTCTGTATGGCTCATTTACTATGAAATCCTCCAAATGATGAGAAAGCTCATCAGCGAAATCATCCTTCCAAGGGCATGCTTTTTTGAGGGATGCAAATCCATCGTCGGCTTTGAAAGGAGAACATGTTGTCGTGCGGCGGAATTGGAAACGTTTGAGGGAGTTTATGCCAACGAACCAAGCGTCGATCAAGCCGGTGTCGTGAGTAAGAGCAAGACTTGCACCCAGTGCGCATGTCTCCTCAAGAACGGGCACTTGTCTTCGGACCTCTCCGCATAAGTAAGGCTTTGGTTATAGAACGAACTACATCCATCTGCTCCGGGGTTGGCCAGATAGCATTGTTTACTGTAGACAACAGGATCCAAGTTTGAGCGTCTATCGTGTAGAACGTTGAATTTGGGTGACCAAACATAGTGCCATTGTGTCGGTGATTATGTTGGCAGATAGGACATCGGCCGAAGATTCTGCTACCAAGATGCCAACAAACAGAGCTGAAAGGAGTAGGGAGAAGAAGATGTCGAATGGGCGCTGTAGAATGTTCTTCCAGATTCTGCGCATGCACGGAGTACTTGGTCAAGTTTGCTTTTGAACAATTGAGCTGCTCGGGAGCTCAATACGACCTGGCCTAAGGAGCTTCCACACATTTTTGACAGGTGCGAATGCTGCTCCAAGCTCTGAGTGTGACTGTTCAGTTGCATTCAGATTGTCATCCCCAAAGTGACCTCGTTGTGGCTGTTGTGGAGCTTGGGAGCCAAATCGATGAACCAAAGGCGAGGACAGCCTGGACACAAGCGGAAGATGCATGGAGCTCTGCAAATCGTCCTTGTGTCTGGAATGCCTTGTGTAGACATCGATGGCGTAGAAGA